CACGCTGTATAAAAGTACCTTTAATAGCACAAAATTTATTATAATTAAGCATAGGGAACTTTCAGAAATTATGCTCAAATCTGTAATTTCTTTTGCTATAAAGCAGTGTCATTTTTTGAAGAAGAAGGAAAAAAATGAACCAGCAGATCAGCCCCACCCGCTCCATTCTGTTGCAGATGTTTGCCAAGCTTCTGCCTCCTCAGTCCCTGGGACTAAAAGGTACCAAATTTCCTATATATTACTCAGCTAAATGTACAGTGAAACCTTCATGAAAAGCATTTCAAATCTCCTCTATGCTCTTCATTCCTAGATGCTGCATCATTTTAGGGGTCCTTCCAAGGACTAACTCCCTACATGCAACTCTGGTTATGAAAAAGTGTAAGAGGGACTCTTCTTGTAAAATGATTATCTTCATTGACTGCATAGTTCAGGATCTTGGGGCCAGTGGGTAAGAGGCATGCATATAACCACACCATGTGTGTACGTGTGCGTGTGCGTGTGCGTGCGTGCGTGCGTGCGTGCGTGTGTGTGTGTGTGTGTGTGTGTGTAAAATATAACATATAACAATATAGATTTGGTAAGAATTTAAACCATCTCCATGCTTTCAACAAGCACACGAAAGTTCTGAAGAGCACCTTAACCCTCTTACATACCGTGTGTGGTGCATTGGAGTCTTGTAGTATCCCAGTGAAGTGGGCAGAGGAGGGGGCCCTTCTGCCAATCCTAAGAGGAGTGATTTGGAAAGCCTAGAGACCTAGAGCCACAGTGAGCCTGGACCCAAGTCATGACCAGACCTTTCCATCATGTACACACTGCATATGGCTTCTTGTTATGGCCATTCGATGGGACTTTGTGAAAAGAACCTGAGTTTTGAGGATAGCTATATCCTTTGCTGCTAGTTCAATGCTCTAGAGCAAGGTACTAAATATGGATTCATGGTTAGAACATCAGACCTGGACAAAAATTCCCATCCCAGCCTTCCAGCTGCCTGACTGGGGAGGGTCAGCTTGCTTTCTACACCACTGCTCTGGATTCGAACAAAAGGAAAAACTCCCAACTTTATGAGACCAAGTAAGGGCTCAGTACAGGGTTTAGTACCAGAGTGTTCCTGTCAAGGACCTAGTACAATGCACAGTACTAAGGTACTTCTGTAAAGAGCTAAGTACAATGCTTAGGGTGCTCCTGAAAACATCTGAGTATGCAATGCATGCTACTCTGGGGCTTGAGAAATATTTATTATTATTGTTGTCAATAAAATTGGAGTCAGCCAGCTCCCCTGGGTGTGTGAGAAGGCGGCACCGTGAGACTCCATCGACAGAGCATCGGCTGAGCCCTGTTTGAGTATGGCCTCATCGTCTCATGCATCCGCAGCCCTGAGCTTGTGGCATCCAGTGTCTGTTGAGTTTAAACCTATGGCTCGTCTTGGTCCTGGCTTCTGCGGTTCCTCTTCTTACTCTCCCACCCTCCTCTCTTCTCTGCCTTCTTTCCTCCCTTTCTTTCTCTTGTGAGGCAGACTCTCATTATATGTAGCTCAGAGTGGCCTAGTACTCAGATGTAAATCAGGCCGGCCTTGAACCTGAGGCTGTCCTCCTTCCTCTGCATCCTGAGGGCTGGGATTACAGATGAATGTGACCGAATGCTCTAATTGTTTTTAAGTGGGCAGAATATGAACGACAACTTTGATTTTCCGTGCCTGCTGCTGAGATCTGAACTGCTTCCCCTCCCTGCCTCCCTGACCTAAGGTCCACAGGATGGAAGCCTCTGGAAGCATGAGGGCCAAGAGATGCCCTGTCAAGTCAACAAGAACAAAGGTAGACTAGAGGCCTGAAGACACATCCCCTTTCTAACAACCTTCAGCTGCCGTGGTCCCTGGGGCATCAGCCCACTCAGGAAGATCCCCCTGCTGTGATGCACATGGGCTCTGCCACCTGTCACCACCGTCTCTGTCTTCCTTGTCTAATTCCAAGCCCGTCTTTTCAAGTCTTTCTGTGACTTGTTTTGTCTTCTAATATTAATTTCCAGACTTAGTATATGAGAGCAAACTATTCCTAGGACATTCTTTCTTGAGACTAGGGCCGTGATGGACTGTGCTGTGGGTACTGTCAGGAGGGAGCTGAGCAGGGGACCATGCAGAGCCAGGGATTCTTCACAAGGACCACTTCTGGGGTCTCAGGAGGGTTTTAGGAATGCACGCTGGATGGTTTGAGTGTGAAACGTTCCCCCACAGGTTCATATATTTGGACATTCGGTCCTCAATTGGAGGAGCTATTTTGGAAGATTGTAGAACCTTCAGAAGGTGGTACCTCGCTGGAGTAAGTGGGTCACTGGGATCCAGTCGTCAGGTTTTACAGCCTGGACCATTTCCTATGGGTTCTCTGTAAACGCTATATAATGAGTTGGCCTCCTACAGTGCCGTGTCTTCCCTGCCATGAAGGACTGTATTTCCTCAAACTGTGAACCAAAAGAAATCCTCCCCACCTCCCCTGCCGTAAATCACTTCCTATCAGGTATTTGTGGACAGCAACAATTAAAGTAACCAAAAATTACTAGATATTTCTCATCTAAAAAAAAAAACTGAAACCTACTATTTACTCTTTATTTTAAATATTAATGTTTATTCCATCTTGAATTTGTACATGCTTTCAAGGAAGGATGCAGGGAAAAAGAGGAGTAGGGATAAACCATCTCTAGCTCTTCTGGAATTCCCCGGGGAACCCAAGGGTGCACTTCCGTATGGGAAAACAAAGCCCATGACCAGGGTAAACTGCCGGTCAGGTGGCATTTGAGGGTGAAGAGGGGACGGCAGGACTACAGGCACAGTTCATTGCTCGATTAGTGAGTTAGCATGGAAGGCTATTTTGATCTCTTTTTAGATTTGCTCTAATTAACTCGGAGCAGGAGTTCCTGACGCAGACCCCCAAGGCAGGAAGCTGTCCACTTGACTCAGAGGATAGCTAAGGGTAAGAGCGAGGAGTTTTAGAACCATCTTGAGATGGTCTGCAACCTGTTCCAAGACTTGGGGACAGTTTCAGCCTCGCTCATGTCCCAGGCTCAGTCTATAAACAGGATGATGCTGACACCTACCCTCAGGCTTGTTAATAAAATAAAACACACAGAACCCGTATCACAGAGCTGGATCCTAAATGTGCAATAAGTTCGAGGTGTCTTTACCCTCTGATGAGATCTTTCCTCTTCCTGTTGGCGACTCTGGTTTCCCACAATGTGTTTGTAGCATGTTTTCTTTTAAATAACAGTAACAAATCCTTCTTTAGCAAATGTTCAAAATAATTCACAAAGGATAAAGAAGGCAACTAAAATAACGCAGCACCTCTGAGGCTCATTCCTTCAAGCAGGTCTGAGTGTCTACCTGCACAGCCCGCCTGCCCAGGCTGCCCTCTCCTAGTCAGTTGATTTAAAGGGAGAAGTACCAGCAAGTTTGGGAATAATCTACTTAGGCAAGTATATGAGCCCCATTCTGCTCTCAGGCATTCAACTAGTTTTCTTATTATTCTATTTATCTTGACCATCAAGCTAATGGCTTTAATTCTTCTATGCTGAGCATGAAGTTCTTATTAGATTAATCTTGTAGCTGTGTTCAGTGACATAAAAGCACCATGTCTGCCATCTACAGATGAGAAAACTGAGACCAAAGAGGCTGCAGAGGCGGGATTTAACGGACAAGGAAGCTGAGTGATTTGGAACGATTGGGAAAGGATTATGTTACCTTGTAGATACTGTTTTTTAAAATAAAATACTACATAAGTAAGTTACTACACCTGGTGGCGAATGTCCATAATACCAGCATGTGGGCAGCTAAGTCAAGAGGATAGATATTGAGTTCAAGGCCAGCCTAGTCTACACTTCAGAGCCTACGAAAACCAAACAAACAAGCCGCACATCCAAACCCAAGTGAAAACGACACAGGGCAGAGCATCTGGGGTCGGGGCGGTAACTGCTAAAGGATGAAGCTTGGGAAATGATGAAAGAAGGCTAAAACGGAAAGAGACTCTTTCAAGTGGCTGCAAAGAGTAGACCTGAAATTCTTACGCAGGAGGCACTGCCCCTCGGCTAGCACCTGGTGCCTTTCAAGGCCGCTGTGTCTACTCCAGCACCAATCAACAAGATCCCAGAATTCTTCCCAGGTCTCATCATAGTAAACTCTGGGGAGGGTCTATGAAGCATCTTGTGCCACAAATATGATAAGAACATCTGTTTGCTGGTGAAGCACTCTCACAGGCGACCATCAGGATTCCTTACCAAAGTGTAGCTTAAAATTAAGTAATATGTGTTAGCATCCTCCTTCCTCACACAGGAGAATGAAAAGTAAACCAAGATCAGCGTGTTGTTTACTGAGAAAAGTATCTATGTTTCTTTGTGAAAAACTATTTGTTATAACTTCCTATATATCTATTTTTCTATATTGAGTTTTAAAAAACAATTCTGCAATCCTTTGAAATGAAAGATATATCTAAATGGAATGAAGGAAGAAGTAAGAAAGTTCACACGCAGCCTTTCCAAGTTTGAGCAGCATTCCCCAGCCAGTTAATAAGCAATGATGCATCAGTAGAAATGCTCAAGGGAAAGACCACCTGACGGCTCCATTAAATCAACCCTAACCTAACCCTACATCAATTGAGAAGCAGAAGAATGTAGACAGATTCTACAGATTAACTTCCTGAGCTCCTCGGGGAAGGTGGGGGTGTGGAAGGTGGGGGTGTGGAAGGTGGGGGTGTGGAAGGTGGGGTTAGATTCAAAGAAAAGTAAGCCCTGGCTGGCTCCGGGTATCCTGGGATGAGCTTGGAGTATGATCTGCCACGCTCCACAAAGATGCGGAACTTAGCAGAAATAAGTTTGCCATCTGGTCAGTAAATTCCTTTAACTTCTTGGAGTCCTGTAATTTTACCTAGCTGTACCTAGGAATAGGACTGTCAGAACATTCTGTGCTGATGTGTATGGCAATTTTCTTCACTGCAGGCTCTAAGTAATTTGGGTTTTAAATGCACCTTGCAAGAAGCTCAAAAAATACAGAGAAACTTTCACCGGAGAGTCTTTGAACTTCTCTCGTCTGGACTAACCTCCCTGTCATTTGCCAAGCACACGGAAGTGCTTATCCCTCTCAGGTATGGCTGCAGATACCCTCTTACAACCACCCCTTGAGGCAGGAACACTGGAGCTAATCTGCTCACAGTGATGGCGGGCAGCCAGAATCAAATCTACCCTTCCATTGTGTCCACATCAAGATTCTCTCACCCAAAGAGAACATCCAGCTCCCACCTTCCTGTGAAGCTCTGTGGAAGAAGCCCTACACTCTCACTTCCACTCTACCAAGGATTTACTCCACAGACTTCAGGTAATGTGGCTGCTTGTCCCTTCTGCCTTCCCTCCTCACTCTGTTCTCCAGGCTCATCCGTCTACAGCTCTTGGCACCTTGGCGGCCCTGTTCCTTCTGTGATTCTGGTGTTCTAGTGTCTCGTGTTTCTCTTGCGTTTATATTTGTTTCTTGTTCTAGATTGTCCCTTGCTCATTTCTCCTCCATCCCCTCTCTCCACTTTCATTTGTCACTCCTCAGCCTCTCCTTTTCTTTCTCCTTCCTCACATTTATTCTAGTTTTGGGGATCCAGTTGACACTAGGATCAGTGGTTCTCAACCTGCAGGTTGTGTCCCCTGGGGGTTGGATGACCCTTTCACAGGGGTCACCTAAGACCATCAGAGAACACAGATATTTATATTACAATTCAGAACAGTGGCAAAATTACAGTTATAAAGTATCAATGAAAATAATTGTATGTTTGGGGGTCACCACAACATGAGGAACTGTATTAAAGGGTCTCAGCACTAGGAAGGTTGAGAACCACTGCCCTAGAGCCTAGCTTGTCAATACCCTGAGAGCAGAGGCCCTCTTTTAGGGGACAAAAGTCCCAGTAACCAATCACACAAAACATTTATAACAAAATGTAGGCTATCAGAAGAACATCGGTGTCCACAGCACTCCACACTGAGCTAAATTACAACCAATACATCAGTGTGTCCTTTTAGATCCAGATTAAATACAGGACAATGGGCTCAGAATTCTCTAGTAAGTGCACTTTTCTCATTGACGCTCTGGGTAGCAGGCTACACTCGGGGTCATAAAATAAGAAGGGGGAGAGGAGATGCCCCGCAGCCTCAGGCTGAGGGTACAGGTGTGTGCATGTGTTTCTAGCTCTACAACAACAGGGCGGCACTGTGGGGTGGGAAGTGGGGAGTGGGGTGCTCAGGAGCCTCTGGGGCAGGCACTGTCTTCCCAAGTAAAGGAACAAATCAGAACAATGTGTTGAGGGTGCTCGTGGCGTCTCCATCCTATTTTGGGGGTCTGTGGAAAGCCTGATCCTTTTGCTTAAGGCTTTGGTGGCAAGAAAGCATATGCATTGACTGCTGTAAGTTTCACATCTGGTATACATACTGCCTGCCAGGCCTAAGATGGAAGGAAGGGACTGTTTATTAGAATTAATTAGTCACCTGGATATTTACATATGTAAATAAAACACACCCTGCAGTTGCCTTCCCCAGAGTTCCCCAGAACATGCTGTCACTGTATGCTGTACCCCACCTTTCACGGCTTATTAGTTAACACAGAATGGTCTGGTTTCAGACGTTTGCATGGCATACGTGTTTTTGAGAATTATGGAACAGTAGTCAGGACACTTCATTTTGCCCGAGTTCCCTTAAAATCCAGTATTTACTTCTCTGCCTAATGGCTCCCCCCCAGGTTCCACCCCCACCCTTTATCTTGGATGACTTCCTGGGTAGGTGGAGGAGAGAGCTGCACATCCCTTGTGCCTGTGCGGGCTAAGCCCGGGCACTCACGGGGTTAAAAGCACTGCTGTAATATTAAGCACATGTTTCCAGCCTGCGGGGTGCCAGACTGAGACGTCCTCCAAGCCTAATTTGATAGATATTATGCCTACATTGCTGCAAGGAGCGATGGAGAAAGTAAAAATTTTATGGATGAGCAAAATAGGAGCTCTTCTGGATGGAGTGTTTTTAAATCAGGTGTATAATTTACCCAGTGTCAGACCGCATGTAGAGTGCATTACTCAATTGAACTTACACGCAGATAGGAAAGCCGTTTCTTTTTAATAAGCACTTCTTCAACTTATTGGCTCTACAATTACTTGCACCAAATTATCAGCAGCTGCTGCCTGGTTGGCGCTGCAGCCCAGACAAGGAGCCACAGTAGTTTCTAATCAAAAGCCACTCGAGGGCTCTTTATCATTTTTAGCTTAATTCCACTTTTATTTGGAATTTATTAATTGGAATATCCAATATTTTCACGACAGAATTTTGCTTTGCTTCCATTAACAAGAAGCCTACCCAATGGCTGAGGTGATTAGGAAAATGGAAGGGGGGATACCCAGACTTATCTCCGACATTCACAGCATTACATACATTCTGCTGGGTTTGTGTTCCTTCAGAAGCTAGATTTTGACCCTTTCATGCAATGCTGCTTCTGAACTTAGCCTTCTGCAAGTTTTGAGTCCAAGAGTTGTTGAATAACAACATCTTCATGTGCAACCATGCTTAACCACATGCTTAACCCAGGCTTCTGGAGGTCTGCATGAAGGATATTCTGGGGAGATTGCAGTTGGGGTATCCTGGGTATTTGATGATATTCATAAATGCTCCTGGCCTCTGACCACAGGGTGCTGGATGCTCATCTCCAGTCCCCAGTGATAAACACCAAAAACCATCAGCAAAATTATCAAGTCACAGAGGTGGTTTTGTGTAGGAGAGTGTAGCAGGCCACACATAAGGAGCCTTGAGGGATAGGTCTAACAGGAAGGTGCAGTTTTTAACTAACTTGTTGGAAACTTTCCAAACAGCATCAATGAATACCAGTTCGGGATTCCCTGCTCTGTAAGTGATAGTCCAATGAAATCTTGGAAGTTTAATTGTTTAAAACCAACGACATTTTTAAGCAACTTTTACAGCCAAAAGCAAAAGAAAATGACTTTGAAAGTAATTATAAGAATTATTTTATTTATTCAAATAAAATAAAGATCTGAATAATCACCCTCCATGTAGATGGACTTGGGGACTAATTTTATAGAAGTGTAATAAAAATTGTTTTGCCTCAGCAGAGCCAAGAATACCTAATTTGAGACACATTTCACTTCTTTGAAATCGCTTTGTGTGTTATTGTCAGCTCCAAACTACAAAGCAGAAAGGGTGAGCCAAGAAATTCTATGACTTCACAGAAAGGTTACATCAAGTTTCTCTCCCATGGCTTTCAAATCCACGCTAGTCTTCTAAATATGAAGAATGAAGAGTTCAACGTGACTTGTACCCGCATATAAACATGCCTCTCTACACAGACTAGGGTCAGGCTGATGGAAGCAGTGGTCCGTGTCTGTAACCCTCGTATTTGGGGAACTGACGAGGAGTAGTACTACAGGGAGTTCAAGGCCAGCCCGCGTCACAGGGAGACCCTGTCTCAGAAAGCAACAGCAAACCAAACCAAACAGGAAACTCTCCATCCCAGCTCTAGTCGCCAACTGGAATGTCGCTCGGTGGAGGAGCATTTGCTCAGTATGCGCCAGGTCCTGAACATCTGTGGTGCAGTTCCAAACAAGACAGACAACCCTGCTATCAAAAACTACTGCTCACTGAAGAACAAAACAGGAACGAGAGTCTCTTCTGAAAGGAACTGCCATCTCCTGTCTGCCGTCTACACTGGAAGGTGGCTCACCATTGAACCCTCTGCTGCAGGACTTGGGAGGTCATTTGGACCAACAGGCCCTCCCTGAACTTCACCCAGTGAGTTTCTCATGCACACTAAACACCTTTTTTTTTTTCAAGCTGAAAGAAGGGTTTTAATGTTTCTACCACAATAAAATAACAAATGTTCAAATAATAAAATAAAATAACCAAGTTATTAGGTTCCAGTCTTTTATTTTTATTTTTATTTATTTATTTATTTATTTTTTTTATTTTTCGAGACAGGGTTTCTCTGTGTAGTTTTGCACCTTTCCTGGGACTCACTTGGTAGCCCAGGCTGGCCTCGAACTCACAGA